CTTGCCCGTGAACGCCACGCCGCGCGCCGCCTCGGGGTACGCCGCGATTGGAATCGCCCCAAGGGACAAACTGTACTGCCGCGTCTTCGCAATTAAGTTTTATTCTTGAATTTTAATTATAATAAGAATCGCGATGAAACGTCCGTACCCACGATCACAGAAAAAGAGTGTAGATTACGTGCACGAGTGTCGGAAGGTAAAGGTGAATTGGGTGGCGTAACGGTCGTGACTCGGTCTAATTACTTCTGTGCCTAACCTTTGTGGAAGGTGTACGTTCGTTTATCGGTTGACCACGCGTTTTATGGATTTACTGGAATTCGGTGGAGTATTTTGTTTAGTAGAATTTGATGCGGTCCCTTTATCCAGAACTCGATAGTATATTTAACACGTTGAATACCGTGGAGGTCAGCGGTGACCCCCAACCAAATTGAATTCCTATAGTTCACTCAATGCAACGGCGATTATTTGAAAACATTTGTATATTATAAATAATGTTGCATAATTTCGTGGCATTGAGCTAGAAGAACGAACAATAACGCAACTCAATCGAATGATTTAATATCATATTTTTTCATTTTGCGTATTTTGCTTTATAAAATGGCTACGGCTTTCAAAGTGTTCTTAGGAAGAATTCAATTCTATTTCATCAGAGCTCCTCGAAATTAGATCATAAAAATAAGTAATCGAACGGATTATAAAGATACGTATAATTGTGACGTTTACCACTGTATAAAGTAGAAGTGCTAATCAACTTTATGATATTTTAAACTACACGGTATAAATACAGTTTGCAGTTTGCGTAAATAAAATATTCTAGCAGCGTTATGAGCAACCACTGCACGTACTAATCTGAATGTCTAAAAGTTATACTTCAACCTGGAATTAATTGATTTATAATTTAGAATACGAACAACCCGGCTGGCAAAGAATAAATATATGTAACACTTAAAATTGATGTACCGAGTGACATATTCCAAGTGACTTTACTTTTTAAAATTCGTCAGAAGCAATTACAACATTCTGATGTGACATAAACGTTAAGAATACTCCAAACTTTAGACCAATCGATGAGCAATACCATTCCGCCATACGAAAACACTGTTCCATAAATTGAAGGCACCTCTCCGACGTTTCGCTTCACAAAAACGCTACGTAAAATTGAAAACCACTAACTTCTCCGTTTGGCCAGAAGAAAACACCGGTGTTCCTCATAAATACTCATTACGATGTAATGCGGCAGCAGAACGATCGTTGACACAAATCTTTCAACCCGTCGCGTCGCGTCCTTCAGCGGCCGTCCAGGAGATCATTCTCCGATCCGTCGAACAAGGGGAAAGGATAAGGGATCCCGGGCCAGCCATTACTAATTAAAGATACCGCATTACGCTTAACGATCCGCCTGCTCGAATTCCAAATATCGATGAAAATGGTTCAAAGACACCGAACGAGCAATAATAACGCGCCGTGCCCGCTTTAACGACGCCCGGTACCAATAAAGTGTCGCTCCCGGGGAAAAAGAGTACCGAGCGGAATCCGTGGCGGGCAAACGTGACTAGTAAAACTGGCGTCGGATGTGATTCAAATGGACCGAGGATTTAAACGCCTAGCGGATTCAGATTATCGGTGGAATCCCCCTTAATCGACGGCGGAATAAATCGTCGTGCGAGGGGTTAATTAAGTTTTATGGTACGAGCGTCGAGCGGTCGTTACGCAGGTGTATGGGCTGCGTTATCTACGATACATCTTCATCTTCGCGGGGCTGACTTGGCCAATTGAAGGCCTCTCTCCTACCGACGGTAACACGCTCGCTCGCTCGCTCGCTCGCTCGTGCCCGCGCGTTCACGATCTTATCGCGTACCCGGTGAAAACAACAGGTGCACGAAATCACGGCCGCCGCCTTGAGATCTACCGTCCGCTCTCATGTCATTTACGACCGCGCCGAATTTCAAATAGGATCGTAAACTTGTATCCTTGTACGTACGTCACACCGGTACGTCTTCCTGGTGCAGCTCATCGACCCACCCTATATCTCGCCGAGAGAAACTGAGAAATAGGAAAATGTAATATTGATCTGAGAAAATACCTGCTGCCTTGTCTCAGTTTAGATGATAAGTCCCATTGACGGTGGGGCTCCTGTCGAAAGGTATTGTGCTGCGTACTCCTTTTCTTTGTTTATTTATTTGCAGAGGTTGTATTTCGGTTGAGTAGTATCGCGCGCTCGGTTTCTAAATAATATATTTTATGTTTTTCAGGAGAAAAGATACAAACGCGCGAAGGTTCTTGAAAAATACATTGATTCACAGAGGAACTTTTAATTACAATTATTCAAAATTTAATTATATTTTACACTACATTTATTCAATAACAATGCCAAAAGATCTCTGCCTACGCCTTTAATCGCCAATTCCAACGAAACATGTCAAAAAACCGTTCGTTCCTACATCTCACAAACGTCACCCTCTCCCAACCCCAATTCTCCCCAACGGCCTCCATCAAACCGAAGAATTGCCAGGAAAATAGCTCAACGACCGAAAAACAATCACGGCTCATCCCCATTTCATCTTCCGAGAATCCGAACGGAAACCGTTGAAGGCGTCATTCCGGAGTTGGGTACCGGATAAGCCGCGTTGCGTCGCGGCGCGCGGTATCAGCTGGCTAGCCGAGGACCTCTCAGTCCGAGTGACATTCGCGAAATCGCCGGCATACCTGTAACCTAGAGGCACGAACGGGTAGGAGGGAAGATCGGTGAGCGACCCGGTCCACATAAAATCCGAAGGTGTTAAGCAGGGAAGCGTGCATGGAAGCTGAAACGTGGTGGTGGCTTCCCTCAAAGGGGGAACCGCGGCCGGCCGCATCGGTCCCGCCCGCTCCCGCCGGCTCGTAGGGAATTGAAATTGATTTCGGTCGACTTCCATTACTCAAAGAGGACCGGGGAACGCGCACCGACAAAAGTCACAGAACCGATCCTACGTGGATAAGAGGCTTGCCCCGTGGCCGGGGACCAGCTCGAGCCGGGACGAGAGGTTCCAGCCGGCCGTGCCCCAGGAATTCCTGGCGTGTTTTACCAGCGGGAGAGGGAGCCGGAACTCTTCTCTCCCCTCTGGCCGCCATCAACCCACCCTTCTATCGTTGCCGCGG